AAATATTATAACAGAAAATTGTTTTTTGAAAATTGTAAAATGTATTTGTCTATGTGATGTGATTGGGTCATAAAATGGCATCTAAATGTTTTTTTTATATAAATGAAATATGTAATATAAATTAAATATATAAATGTATATATACAGTCAAACCAAAATTTATTCAGACACCTTCAACATTTCACACATTGTCACATCGCTATAGTTTAGAAAATGGTAATAAAATATGCCAAGAACTCAGAGTTAACTGTGCCAGAACAAATTCATCTTGATAATGTCAGATAACACTTAAGCAAAACATGGTCAGGTCAAAGTGTCTGAATAATTTTTGGTCCCAAATTTTTATCAATTTTACTGGTAGTCCACTGTATGAAGAATGTTTGGGTATAATATGTCACAATTCACTTTATTTTGCTATCCTCACTTACATAAATTAACTATAGTGTCCTGCACCCACTAGTAAAAAAATATCAAAAATTATATCTGGTGTCTGAATAATTTTTGGTTTTACTGTATATTAAAGCTGCAGTAGCCTACCTAACTTTTGCCTCGCTATCGCCATCTCTGTTTAAACATAAAAATCGTTATGTTACTTGCGGAGTTATTTTTTACATGGGTTGTGCTTCGGCACTAGGCCTCTGTGCGAATGAATCTGTGATCACCACATCAGAGCGAATCTGTCATTGTACATTCACACACATATAGTATATCCCAAAAAATGTCATGTGAACAAGTAACATATCTGCCGCTTTTGTTCTGACCAAAAAAATTTTTTTTTAATAAATCACGTTACTGGTGTTTAGTTCTAACGATTGCTCAGTCAGATCAGATCATAGAGCAGAAATGCTCTCTCACACACACACACAGCTAGCAGAAAATAAGTGTAATTTACCTCACTGGCCATAGCAAAATGAGAAGAAGAAAAAAACAACCAACGAAGCTCAATACCCATCTGAATCAAACAAACAAGTGCGCTAATGATAGCTCGCTACCTATTGAGCCACTGAGATGTCTTAGCTGAAAAAAAAGAAGCCATCTCAGCATCAGTCTTCAATTCCTCCAGCTATCGGAGCTGTCCCCACCTTTTAAAAGCCATGTCAATATTTACTCTCATTTTAGCACAGGCTTCTCTCGCTTTCTCTTTTTCGACTGGCGACTCCACAGTTTGAGGTTTCTCAGTTTTCACAGCAGGTGCCCTAGATGTTAACGATGACTACCATTTAGAACTTTACAGATTAAAAGCAGCCATCGAGATGACGAGTTTAAATTCTCAGCAACTGTTGTAAGAACAAGCTACAAACCCCCCGCATAGTAACATTGTCTTCTTCTTTTATGTTTACAGATATGATGTAACCACGCAAAGACTAATGGCATTAAAAAGACGAATGACGTCAATTTCCCGTGAAATCATACCCAACACCTCAAATTATAAATCATTATAAGCTTTCCATTGTGAATCGATAAGGTAAGGAGACAGTTTTGAATGCTGATGTCTAATGTACTTGCTCAATAACCATTTTTTTGGTATTTTTTAAAAGGTGAATCACTGGTCATTATTTTCACTAAAATAAAAGTCAATAAGGACAAGAACTGTCAAAAAAAACACAAATGTAATACAGTATAATATAAAACAGTATAATACTACCACTTGCCGACTGTATTCCAGGTTTTCTGATGCCATATGATCAGTTTGTGTGATGTACAGACCAAAATCGTCACTCTTTGCATCAGATCTTTTTAACAGCTGAATCAGTTTATCCGGTTCCCAAAACTGGCCTTAATGATTCACTCATGATTCAGACTCATTTGAACTGACTAACTGAAAGTTCTGGTCGCAAATTTTAGTCTATTCCTCAAGAAAAAGCTATCAATAGACTTATTGAAAAGAAATATTGCAAGCGTTGTATGGACTGCTACAATTCATTGTAATTAGATGGAAAAAACAACCGGACATCTAATTTAAAAGAAAGTCATACGGATTTATAATGACATAAGGTAAGTAAATTATAATAACAGGTTCATTTTTGGGTAAACTATTTATTTTAGTTACCTCTAGGATGCATGACGTCCTGTTATATTAAGATATGATATCTTAATAAATGGTAGCTCTCCTTTTTTTCCCACCTCCCTGTATAATGTACTGTTTTGACATAGGACATGCAATTTTCTCACCTCACAAGCATTACGTTAAAGCAGGATGCCTTATGTTATGCGATGTCACTTTACATTACACTGCACATGACATTATTATCCGTTCAGCTTTCGAGCATGAGGTCACCTCTGAGAAGAGAAATGAAGACATGATAATGATAGCACTCATCTAGATGAGAATATTTATCCAATGTTGCTGGCCTCCCTCTGACTTATTCAACGCACAAAAATCCATTGCAATGGAGCCCCACTGCGGATGACCTTCTGAATGAGAAGTGCTCCCATGCATTGACAATGAATATGCATTAGAAAGATTACAATGAGGTGACATGGCAGGAGCTCTCATCCAAATACCAGCACAGTTGGCAGACAGCTTTCCTGAGCTACTCCTCACCTCTTACATAAGAGCACAGCAAGCTGACAGCACCTCACCCTCCACTCATGCAAACCAAAAGAACTGTGTTGCTGTTCTCAGCTGTCTCGCCTTTGATTCGACAAGAGCAGCTGCACGTAGAACTTCCTTGAATTGCAAGAGGAAAAATAATTTCTTGTATCGGTGCATAGGGGAATACTAGCTTCTGTTATTAGCTTATTATGATGATGTTAAACCAAAGTGTCAAAGTAACACATATCCCTATCTATCAGGAAAAGCTTCCACCATCTGTCAGACCCAGAAATCCCATGTGGCTTCATATAGGGATTCAAACCTCCGTTGGTTACCCTTCACTGTCAAAAAAGCACCTGAGTGGAACATCCCAAGGATGACCAAGCAAGCACTAGACTGGACAGTGACATTTGTAGGCCCAAAGACTAATTTGCACCCATGAGTGATTATGGCTGTTAGTAATGTTGACAACATATTATCATTGATTGTTTAAAAGCACTAGGTGAGGGGAGGCATGAGGATGCCGAAAAGTGTTGCAGGACTATTTTGAGCTTTCAAATAGTAAAAAAAAAAAAAAAACTCTCTCAGAAGAATGTGTTCTTTCTCATGATTCTACTGATAAAGAAATGTATTATTCATAATCCAAGTTCTTGTTTTCATTTCAATGAGCTCCTGCAGACATTTCTATTTGTCCCTGTTATGCATATACACAAACATGGTAGAAAGGAAAGCTAATCTTAATACATTTACATATCTTTTCTTGCCTGGTACTCTTTTACGAAGTCAATTTGATATGGTGCGAGCTAAAAAAAAAAAAAAAGAGAGAGAGAGAGTACATTCTAAATAAAGTCTGCCATTAAAGCTTTGTCATTTACGTCACTTTTGCATTCAATTATTTAACATTTATGTAACATTCATCAACAAAACTGTCCATCCAAAAACGTGTTTATGTAAATGGCCATGGTAAAATGTGGGCATCGGATATTTTTAAACACCTCCACTTGAAAAACAATGTGGGCATTCTGACTCATAAGCAATGCACCAGCTGTGCAAGAGACCTCTGAAACAGCGTGAGTTTGGCAGAGAATGGAGGACAGGCTTAGCTTGGTGAGCACCAGCAAGGATGGGTCCTAACTAAGTCCCTGCAGGACTGAGAACTCACTGTGGGAGGGATGTCTCAACTCCATCTGGCCCAGCAACGCGTGTGCCTTCATGCCGAACCGAACCAAGGTCTGCAAAATGTTGGCACAACGTGTGAGGCATTGCATAGCATTTGAAAGGAAAGATTCAGAGATGTGTCACCATATGTCTGTGGATATCTGCATGTTCCTCACATATGGCAATGGCATGTAGGTCTGTGATTTTGACTCTTTTCTGTGATGCATGTGTAAATGTTAACATGGGAACAAGCCTTTAGTGAGTACCATAGACGTAGTTGCTGCCAAAAGTACGAGTTCTCCAGACTGTTGTGTGATGAACACAATCTGCCATCTAGTGGACACATTTAAATCGCAATTGAGAAAGAAAAAGCTTAAAGAGATTAAATAATGTCTATATTTACAGCATGTTTTGGAAAGATTTAAGCTTAACATTTCATACCTGTGAATTTTGTGCACAGGAAATAGAAACAATTTTGTGTTTGTTTTATCATTATATTTACTCAAGATTATTTTGGATGAATTTAGAAATTAACAGAAAACTGTGTATGATCGACATTTGTGTCTTTGATGTGTTTTGTTTATTTTCGGAATTTTAGACGGTAAATAACAATAGCCTACATTATGCAATTATTTATTTTGTTAGAAAAATACCACGTACATAAAAGGAAGTCTTTGCTAACCAAATTTCGTACGTTATACAGATTTATGCTAAAAACATGCAATGTTTTAAAAGCACCGAAATTTATGTAACTTTTTGGCAGCTTATGTACTTATGTAACTATTAGGTTAGGTTAGGGTATACCTTCTTATGGCATTGAATAAAAAAATTATATGAACTAATTGAGAATAATATCTAAATATATATGTTTGTAGTTTGTTTCATAGTAGCTTAGTCGTCGTTGTAGCCTAAGCCTAATTATCAGTCTTTAGTTTTATTTAGCATGTGCATACAGAATAATATATCATTACAACTGTGTTGATTTATACTGCATTTGGGCAAAATATTTTGTCTTATTTGTTATTATATTGACTTGTTTTATTATTATTTGAGGCCTCTGAAAAATAAATGGCTCATAATGAAATGATCAGGGTCTGTTTTCGTCATCTGTTTGAACTGTCTCGCGTAGTTCAGACAAACTGAATCCTTTAAGAAATTAATCTAATAAGACTTCGTTGCACGTATGTAATGATAACGAAGCTAGTACTAGTGGCTGAGGTTCAAAAACCTAGCGAGCCGCCTGTCTAGACAGCATCACTCGGCGTCTGGATTCCGCCTATCATGTGCGAAACTTACTTGGGTAGGGAGCCAATTAGATTATGAGCCGCAACCCGTGAGTCTTTCGGTGTAGCAAACGGATTCCTGCTCTTTCACACTCTGTAAAGTGTTTTTGCCATATTTTAGGTTCAAACGCTAGTGTTGGTGTTATACTCATAAGGAGTTCAACCTTTCTCTGACGGATTTGTGGCGGGGGCACCTAAGAGGACGAACATGTCGGGAAAGAGTTTTCGCGTTAGCGACGGAGACTGGATTTGTCCCGATAAAAAGTAAGACTTTCTGTATAATGTTCTATTTAAAAGCCCAATAGTGCATATAATAATATACTTGCATTACTTAGAAGTTAAACCTTCTGGGGAAATTAATGTTGGCTGATAGAAGATCACACGCTTCTGTTAGCATAGCATTTGTTAGCTTTAGCACACGACTATAGTGTGTGAATGGGCCTGTAAAACGCGTTTTTTTTTTTTCATTTTCCTTAACAAAATTAAACGGTATATTCATTTCTTTCCACTGAAACACTGGTAATCAAAATTTTTTAATTACATTCTCATAATTGTTAGGTTAAGCGATTATCTGGCAGCAGTTATGTGCACGAGTCTGCTAACTGCAGACTGCTAACTAACTTCATTAGTAACTTAGTTGCAATGCCTTGGGCAGTGTGAAATGTTTTTTTTTATTTATTTTTTATGTATTATAAACCTATTTCAGTGTGTGCACCACTGGAACGTCTCACTGTTGTTTGAAAATGTCAGGCCTGTTCTTTGTGTGCATTAATGTTGAATGATGCTTATAATATCTAGAGACCTAACCAGTTTTGTGTTTATAATATTTTAGGTGTGGAAATGTCAACTTTGCTAGAAGAACGAGTTGTAACAGATGTGGCAGGGGTAAGTGGATTATAATTGTTTGTATAATCATTATGTTTTGAATATTATGGGGTGTGTCACAAAAGGTGCATCAATACATGCACCATGCTTACAGTACTTTATCATGATTAGTCTAAACTAATTAACCAAATTTCCTTAAACAGATAAAACAACTGAAGCAAAGATGATGAAAGCAGGGGGAACAGAGATTGGAAAGACCCTGGCTGAGAAGAGCAGAGGTCTCTTCAGTGCCAATGATTGGCAGTGCAAAACGTGGGTATTGCTATAAAATGTCTTAATTACACTTTCACTGTCCATTATGAACACATTCATAATTATTAATATCTCAAGTATCTGTTGAGTTCAGTGTGAGGAAGTGAAATGTTTCAGCCATTCTTACCCTTTTACATTGACAACATTTCTTTTAAATTTGTTTCAGTGACGTTAAAGGAAACCATTCCTTCCGACTTACTCATATTTTACTTCTCATTTGAACTCCACACTGTTCAGCCTGCTTAATCAACCCTCTACATTGCGAGTAAATCACTCGCATATGCGACTAAATCTTACTCTGGGCAACTAAATAATGTCTAATATTAGCCATTGGCTAATAAATTCTTAGATTTTACACGCCAGTATGTGTGTGAGAGGCGTTCAACACAGATTTTCACTCGATAAACACGCTGACTGAGCGCTTGAGAGTTTCGCTTGGTGGGTTTAGGTTAAAAAGTGTATAACTGTATATAAAAACAATCAAAGTCTATGTAATGTCCTCATTTAGATAGCTAAGTAAACGTGTGTGTGTGTGTAAAATAGTATATCAGTCTGGCGAGTAAACAAAAATTTACTAGCCAATGGCGATTATATTGCCAAGGTGTGCATAGAGGGTTGTTAATGGTGCAGAATAAATGTACACAGTGTAATGATTTCCTGTCATGAACAGTAATGAATGGGGTCGGTTCACTTGAAAATGTTGAAGTAAAAAATAAGACATGTAACAAAGCTTTTTGTGTAATGCTGCTTATAATTCAGCCACTTTTTCCTGTTTAGCATTGAAGGTGTGGATGGGAAGTTGTGGTTTTGACGGGCCCAGTCCTACAGAGATTAGCTCCATCCCTAATCCACACGCACTAGAGAAATCAAACCAAATGCCATCTTCAAGTGCATCTGGGAAACTCCTACCTCTGAAGGTTCAGTCACATGGCACTTTTTGTTCCATTGACTTCCATTCGTAGACGTGAATGCTGGACACAGGAAACACAAGCTCATGCGAATTTCGCTGTGTTCCAAAGTTCAAGTTTGGTGAACTCTGCCCTGCGAATTTGTATGATGTTAAGACGTGAGCAATAGAAGACTGATACAATTTAAAGTTGAACACAAACTTGGAAGGTGACCTGCCCCTTTTTACATCTTGTGATGTAAATTAAGTCTAAGGTGAATAAAATGAATCCACTGCATCCTCAGTGGCTCAGAGGCCGAGAGTATAAGGAGATTCTTATGTTCATTATTACAGCCAACAACAGAACATAATGTTTACTTAGCAGAGACATATCACTAGCTGCTCTAGTGATGATATAAACATGGCAGACTGTGTGCGGCTCACTCAGGGATCTATGCTAATAGGGCAGATCATCACCAATCATGGGCAGGGCTCCGCCTACTCGAAGAGTAGGGTAAATATGCTACCGCTCATTTATGGGGATTATAAAAAAGGAGTGGGTGTATTTTTACCATTAAAAGCTGGTAGTTTACACACTGTGGATACACATCTGTGTTCAAACACCTCATAAAAGTGAATTTGCATTATAGGTCCCCTTTAAATCTGCAGGATTGCAGTAAAGTGGAGTAGAGTTTTTACAGTTTGGATGTATTATATATTGAATTCTTTTTTAAAAGACACAGTTGAGTGTGACGTCATATTACAACCGTTGCAGCATCTGTCGAAATTTTGCGTGCCCAGTCTAGTGTGACCGCAGCTTGAGTCAAGTGTTCCTTGTAACGAACTCTCACATTAAATTTGTTACATAAAGCAAACTGTGAAAGTTGAGTAATTACATTCTTACACCATTGGTTCTTTACAGTCTCAATTTATATTTGGATTACAGTTAGATTCTGTATTTTATATATAT